AGAAAGAAAAAGGAAGGAAAAAAAAAAAAAAAACTCCTAAATTAAAGTTGCCAGATTTCAATCTTAAAGTCCTTTTCCAGAAGATCGAAATCGCCCCAAACCCGCTTTTCTAAAAGTTAAAGAAAGCTGAAAAACCGGCTGGAAATCTACGAGTAAATAGCTTAAAAATATATATCAGTTGGGGTGTCAAGAAGCTCAGATTCTCTATCCGCAAAGCTCTAAGATGCATCTGGGGGTGTCGGCTCACCTCATAGATATCTTCGTACTTGACATTCTCCACGAGCTTCCAGAGCATGATGGCAGCCTGGTCTCTAGGAGGTGAGTGCATTCATGTGAGGAGCAGATGTCTGGCTTCTCAGGACTCCGCTCTCTGTAATGATCCATCTATAATTGGAAATGGGGGATACACACCAAATCCGACGCTCCTCTCCCATCGCAACTTATATCTGTTGTCTCAAACAATAGGCTGGACAAGGAAGTCTCGGCAAAGAGAAAAAACATTATTGCACACACAGGAGTTAGATGCAACCCACAGACATAGATATTATAAAAAATCATAAACACGTATTTATACCCAGACACCCACATATAGTTATATAAGCACCCCTGGGCCACACAGAATCTACAGACTCCGAAGGTGCACTTAAAAGCTGGTTGTTTGGGGGTGACTGATAAACACAGACATTTAAAAATCTCTACCTTGAAAACGGTGAATCATCTTAGTCACGAACTAAAGTCTTTACAATTCGTCATCAGAAACCGGGGGCCACCAGTCCTTAATTTTCTATGTAGATTTTTAAAAGGGGACCATTGCTGAGATGTTTTAAAACACAAAGGAGTCTTCCTATTCATGTGTGTTTAGGAGGGGGTATTTTGAAAGCTTGATGTTGGGATTTTAAGGTTGATCTCTCTGTGTTAATGGCTACACAACTTTTTTTTTTTAAGTTTATCTGCCACTGATAGAACAAAAAAGCTAGACACCACGGGCGATGATTTCTAATATTTTATGGTCATTTTGCCCAACATGTTTGAAGACTTAAATACAGCTCAGTCTGTGCTGCTTGTTGTTTTAGCGGTTGTTTGTGCATTTTCAACGTTTTCCATGCACCATTCCTCGTGGCTGGAGTCTCCATTTTATTAAGTTTTTCAGATGTTGGGAGCAACATACACACATATTTACAGGGCTAATTTTGAGCCTTTTTTGCAGGAGCTTGGGCCATTTTATATTTGCATCTGTTGTCTATAACTTGTAAATGGTTTTAATCACGGAGAGTCAAGAAATGGTCACTTGATTCTTTGACAAGGGTTAAGCAGCATATTCTTCAAAGACATAGGGAAATATATTTTAGGGCATGCAGGTTTTTTCCCCCCTAGTGTATTTTTTCTTAATAAGGTGATTAGTAATAGTTTTTTTTTTTTTTAAAGGAAAACATGAGCAACAGCAAGAACAATATTAATCAAACCTCGAAAATGGGCGCCTGAATGTCATCAGGAAGTGAACACTCACTTGTTCCCTTGTTTTTCGGCTCCTTTTCAGGGTGCGCACGGCTCCTCACAGCCAGAAGGGAAGCCCAGAAGAGGATTTTGCCCCAGGGCAGAAAATAAATGGCAGGAAAGACGGAAGAGGGACGGGGCAATTTGGGGTGGGAGTTATTAAGCCTGATCAAGAGTGGATCTGCAAAGGGCGATTGTCTTTCGGTCCACGACTCGCAGGGCGCTGCCTGGTGCGAACAGCGACGTCTGAGCGGAGGACACCGGACAGCGGCGGGGACACGGTTCCATAGAACCCGGGGACGCTTCCTCAAGAGCAGCACGAGCACTTCTGCAGATTTTCTGTTTAATTGTTAAAGATAAGTCAAATGAAAGGACCACAAAGACGGGGTTTTAAAAGGAACTTCAGAAATAAACTCTGTTTTTCGTTTCTAGTTCTAATTTTTGTTTTGCCTTCTCTTCCTCTTTCTTTCTCTTACTCTCTCCCCTTCCTCCTTTCCTCCCTTCCTACCTCCCTATCTTCCTTCCTTCCTTCCTTCTTTCCTTCCTTCCTTCCTTCCTTTCTTCCTTTCCTCCCTCCCTCCCTCTTCTTTAAATATTAACCTTAAGTCATACAGAATTTATACAGTTTTTCTACCAGGAGCATAGCAAAGCCTTTCCTATTTGCCCCCAGAGCTCGTTAGGAGACGAGAAGGCATTCTACCTAATCTTATCGTGTGATGGGACTCGAAACGGGTCCCACACCCCCTTCTAGAACTAAAATCAGTCCCAGATCAATACTTTGAAAGATAAATATTATAGACTTGAAAATTCAGATTCTCCAGGCACACATTTATTAATGGGAATAATTGTCTTCCTTTTTCAAATCAATAACTCTATTATCTTTATTACCTAAAGACCATTACAATCCAAATATAATGCATTTGGAAAAATCTCCTTTTTTTTTTTTCCCTCTAAATGCTGTTAACACCTTTCATCTCTTTTTGGTATATCATTGATTAGTCTAAGATAAATAAACTCTAAGGTTGAATAAAACAAAACCACCCAGAAGAGATAATTTCATATATAAAATTATTTCTTGAAATATATTGTGCTAGTGTAACGGTTTTATAGACTTATGTGTGAATAATTTTAAAGTTTTCGTCTGTAATTGTATTTCATGTTAATATTAGGCATTTTAAAAAGTAGAAATGTCCTGAGATATTTGGTTAAAATGCATTTAAATTCTTTAGGAAAACTGAAAAATAACAAATCTGCTTTTAATAAGAAGGAAGCGTAAATCTAAGAATATATACACATATACAGATACCCCCGAAAATGCATAACGATCATAAAACCCTAATTTTTTAACGTGGGTGTTGTTCAAAAAATCCTAGAAATTGCAAGGTAAACCTTTCCCAGGGAGCGCTCCCTAAGTCATTGAACGGGCAACAGTACCCTCTGTCGGAATTTTGTGGAAGCAAACCCTGCATGGCTTTTTTTTTTTTTTTGGTTAAAGATTTCTTTTGGTCCTTGTAAACCTGTTCCTGCGAAGAACATTTTAAAAGTTCAGTTTTTATTATACATACTAATTCTAGAAACAATTGACTCAGCACCTAAGAAGTTCAAATACCAAAAAATGCACAAATAAAAACAGTCTCTGCTGAGAAAAATTGTCCTTCATTGCGCCTGCCCCGCTTGCTGGTTACTTTCACGTGACGCAGGAAAAGGTTCCCGAAAGAACTCAGTACGTGCAAACGCAAAGCCAAAACAAGTTCTGGATTTCGAAGGGAATTAAACGAGTAAAATATGCATTTTCATCCCCATTTTTATTTTGCCTTATGCCCACATTTTTTTTTTTTTTTTAACCAGAATATATACACGCTCGCCTGGGTGGATCCGCCCTGAGACACCCCGGATGGTTATTCTCGTATTTTTCCCCTTTCACTTATACTCATTTCAGTTTAAACTAGCAAACGAGAGAGTTGCTAATACCCTCCTTTCCAGTCTCAGATAGAGGGAATATTACTCATCAAGTGTAGGAGTTAATAATCCAAAGCACTTGCACCCAGCATGAAGCCCTCTGCTGGCGATTTTCGGAGGTGTATGGCTTTTTTTTTTTTTTTTAATATTACAGAAAAATAACATTAAATAGAGGCCAACTATTAGATCTCTCAAGTCTTCTTTCTTCTAAAAATCTAATTATGAATGATCTAAATTTCTTTGACTTCCACGACTGACCTATGATGATGTCTTCACAAGCCATTCCCCTTGCAGAAGCCTGATAAACCTCTCTCTTTTTTCCATTACACAGTCTCCCTGGGTTTCCCTTTTCTGTCTACTCCAAACAGAAAAATGATAAAGAGGGAAAAGCCAAGACTTAGACTTAGGATTATTGTGTCCAGTTTGGACTCTGGTCCTTTTCATTGTAGATGGTGAGTCAAGCTATTTGATAACCTGAAACTCAGTGAGGGAACGATTGTGAAAATTCCTTAAAGTAACACCCGTGAAAGAATATATGGGGCATTATTGCTTTGTGAACATTTAACTTCATATCATCCTCAAAATACCAAGCTAGGTGTCAGGAAAGTGGAGGCTTTTATCAATTAGGGACTTGCATAAACTTCTGGTTAGAGAGTGGAGGTGGAAATCCCAACTTAGGTCTTCTGACTATATTCCCAGCACTTATCCCTTGGTATCATGACGATGTCTTCCTTTCTTATGAAATTAAAAATATTGTATTTTTGGATTATTATCTTCTTTTTTTTTTTGAGTTGGAGTCTCACTCTGTCGCCCAGACTGGAGTGCAGTGGCCACTCCCAGACACCGCAGCCTCGACCCGCTGGGGTCCAGCGATCCTTCCGCCTCAGCCTTCCAAGTAGCTGGAACTACAGGCGCGCCGCTACCACACCCAGCTCATTTTTGATTTATTGTAGAGATGAGGTCTCGCCAAGTTGCCCAGGCGTGTCTCGAACCCGTGGACTCAGGCAATCCACTCACCTCAGCCTCCCAAAGTGTGGGATTACAGGTCGAGCCACTGAGCCCGGCTGATTATTATCTTTTAAGAATTATTTTCATCCTAGATTAATAAATAGGCACAGGAAAGAAGAAAGAGAAGAAAGCACTGTCTTACTTCAATAAACTCAGACACTGTCTCACTTCTTACCCATCAGAAGCATGGCTGTCTATTGAGTTGAATAATAAGACATGATATCCATAGAACAGACTTCGATAAGTTAAAAACTATGACATGACAGCTCCATTTTTTAATTGTTGCAGTCTAACTCCTTATTTTCCTGTCATGTTTCTGTCTTCAAGCTTTCTTATGAGATGTTTTTAAGCGTTGTTTTGTATTTTTAACATTAATTTGGAAAAATCACCATCAACTGTGTGAAACTACAATTCAAGCACCTGCCTCGGATTTGTACAGCCTTGATACCACATAGGTTTCAGTGACTTGGTTTGAGGAAACAAAATAGGAGAGACTGATGTTTGTATGAGCGTGTTTTACAAAATTAAATGTGGTTGGAATTATCTTTAAATTGGCTCTTTATGATGAGACAGATTGAGACAAGCACTGAAAAGGAAACATTTCTTACTTTAACCATAATATTTAGTCAGTGGTACATTTGTGAATTTGTAAAGAGATACTGGGTTGAAATCACTTGTGAGGATTAAAAAGAACTGTAAATGTGAAAACTGCCTTTCTACTGGACTTTTGCAAAGCAATAGTCATTTTATTACATATTTAGTTGTCCTGAAGTCTTTAGCTTTCTGTTTAATTGTAGAGGGTTGAGGTGGCGAAGGGGACCGTTTTGAAATGTCTGTCTCCTGGAGATAAAGAGGTTAAGAAATGGATGATGAAGACCTGAAATAAATGATGCAAACAGCCATGCAACAATTGTTTCTAATACCAATGGGCATTTCACACACAAAATGTGAGAGGTGTGTGTCTCCTCTGCCATGACTAATGCAGGAGGACAGGTAGTTTCATCATTGTGGACATTTTCCATATTATTGCTTTAAGAACAAGCAATCTCGAAGGGTGAGAACACTAAACAATTTGGTTTCAAAATGCAACCA